AAATTAGAAATATACCTTTAGAAAAACAGTTAAATTTAGTTAAACTAAAGAGCACCATATAGTGGTCAGTGATAGATGTATTTATTACCGCTATATTTGCTTGTGTCTTTTTTCTATTTAATTTAAATATAACATGATCCAGACAACTATTTTTCCTTGTAGCAATTGTATGTGCCGGTAATAAGCCGAAAGTGGAAAGGACCTCTAGATATTTAAGTCTATTTATTTGCTCGCTATTAAGTTCGTTAGCTTTTGTAATAAGATTTATGTTGATATCTCCAGTTATAATTATATTTTGATTGTTTTTAAACGCGTTGAGATGTTGTTGCAAAGATTCAGTAAATTTCTCAGTATTTGTGTGTGAGGGTGATCTGTAAATACCTAATATTACATGATTAAAGATTTCATTTGTAAACAAAAGGCATGCTCTAATTTTATTTCTTTATTTTGGTTAAGATTTTGCATAGTAACAAAGATGTGTAATTTGCAATTTGTACCAAGTGATTATACTATCAAGCCAGCATTCTGTTAGAATTAGCAGATCTACTTCAAAGGTAAGGATAGATAGTGTTAATTGCAAGTCGTCTAAGTTTTTGTAAATACTTCTGATGGTCTGCGTAACACCTGTAAATCTTTTTTATTCAAACTTATGAATTTATGCAAATCTTCAGTATCGCAAGATAAAGAATTGGCAATTTCAGTATCTTGTATTTCCTTCAACACAGTTAAAGAACTATCCATCATAGAAGCAAATGGAACAATAACACTGAATTCGAATGGCTTCTGGTGATGCTTGTTTATGGGTTTCCAAAAGTATTTTATAAAAATATGCCCTAGTAAATGTTTTGACTGTACACAGGCAGGTTTATAGGTAGCTGTTATAAAAAAGAAAGTCTGTCTGAAGGTGTTAACCATCGATCACTAATAAAGAACTAGATACACAATCCCATACAAAAGTTCTCTAAAAACTGTCGCCAATTGTTGTGACGTAATTATAGTTGAAATGAATATACATTTATGTAAATTCAACCTTAAATACATTGCCTATAGTTGTATTCACAAAGATACGTACGAAAAGCAATAAATTTTTATGACCGAGGCTCGTATCTTGGGTAAGGAATCATTGGAGTCGAACTGCCCAAAATATATTGTTACTGTTATTTTAATTTTAAAATGTTTCAAAATTGTTTTAAAAACTGGTGTACATAAAACATATTCTATTCTTTTCTATAGTGTATTATATGTAATGATTATAATTTACCTGAATATAAATACGTTTTTGGATAGGACACCACATTCATTTAGTAACGAAAGTACTTGAAATAGTCATAATTATGTATTTATTCTTCATCTTGTGTCAATAATTTAAAAATATTGCTTGAAAAAGAACTTAAATCTTAATTCAATAGTTACTGAATATAAAAAGAATGTACAGAAAGTTGTAAATCGTAGTCACATATTCATCACTTTCTAAAACATGATTCAAATTTCAAACGTACGCGACTTACAACGCTTCCTTGGGTCGGCTTGAAGAATTCTTCGGACCTTTGACATGCTATGACTGATATCCATTCTGCACACAATGGATAAACCAAGCAGTAAGCAGTTATGGTCTGAATATTGCTTATGCTATTTCGTTGATTATTTTAATTATGAAGTATAAGTGTCAGGAGCAAACAATAAGATAATTTAATGATTTCTTATATTTACGCGAACACTACACATTGAAATAATACTAGTTTTTACGGAATTTATCACGTATATTTAACTTTTTAAATACCCGACGTTTCGAACGCTTTACAGCAAGCTTAGCTTAGTTCTCCCATAAATCCAAGATTCTACAAGCGGTACGTAGACGATACTTTCACAATTCTACCTTTAGATAAAGTAACTGCATTTTTAGACCATCTTAACTCTATAAATTCTAAAATTCAGTTCACAATGTTGTTAGAGTCCAAACATTTCTTTAGCTTTTCTAGATGTGTTAGTAATTCGGAATCCTGATAACACCTTGAGCCATACTGTGTATAGAAAAAAAACCCATACAGATAGATATTTAAACGGTGATTCTCACCACCATCCTTCACAGTTAGCTACCGTGGGTAAATCTTTGTCTCAGAGAGCACGAAGGATCTGTGACAGTAAACACCTGGCTGCCGAGCTCCACCATGTCAAGCAAGTTTTGCATGACAACAAGCTTCGCGTCCCGCGCCGACGTCACAGTGAACGAGTGAAGCCGGCCACAGTCGAGCGTGTACCTGCTGTACTGCCATACGTTAGAGGAGTCACTGATAAGATTGGCTACATCTTGAAGCGCACTTCCATCAAAACATACTTCAAGCCGCTGAAGAAGATTGGTCAGTTTTTACCATCAGTCAAGTTTAATGTCTCTCTGCAAGATGCAGGAGTGTACAAAATTGATTGTGAATGTGGCCTCTCCTACATAGGACAAACTAAAAGATCAATAAAAACCCGCGTTAAGGAACATATAGCTGATGTGAAGAATCGACGCTCCGGGAAGTCTGCAGTCTGTGAACACGTACAGGATCGCCCCCGTCACTACATCAGATTTGATAGACCGCAAATCCTCGCTAAAGAACACCGATTCCTTCCAAGGATGATTCGCGAGACTATTGAAATCAAAAAACATCCTAATTTCAATAGAGAAGATGGCTGGGTGCTACCATCTGCTTGGGATCCTATAATAAATAAAATTAAATCCCAACCCAAGCATACAACTGCAAGACTTCAAGATATCATAAGTTCATACTGCATAGATCGGAACAAAAGTTAAATTTTAATCTATGGTAACCGCAGTTAACTATAACATATGGACGTTGAACATCTCAGTCCCGCCCGTGACCATGAGTGCTGTAAAGCGTTCGAAACGTCGGGTATTTAAAAAGTTAAATATACGTGATAAATTCCGTAAAAACTAGTATTATTTCAATAAGATAATTTATTTTATTTATTTGTTTTTAAGGGAAACATACAGTACAATAAAAAATACATTATAAAACATATAAAAGTAATCCTAAAACCAATGAAGTTTCCACAGATATCTAAAACATATTAAAAGCTTGCAACCACAATATGTTTAAAGAAGAAACTAAAAACCGAAAAGGCTTCAGCACGGTAGAACACATACATACCATTTGGCTAATTGTCCAGAAAATCGAGAAGTACAGACTTCTACTATGTCTTGCGTATGTGGACTATGAGAAAACCTTTGATACCGTCGAATTTGGGCGCTGCTACAGTCCCTTCAGAGGGGCCAAGTTGACTGTCGGTATATTGAAAAGCTGAAGTGTTTGTACAGTAAGGCTACGATGGCTATCCGAGTACAGAACCAGAGTTCGAAACCTATCCAACTGCAGAGAGGTGTAAGACAGGGTAACGATATATCCCCGAAACTCTTCACCGCTGCATTGAAAGACGTTTTCAAGCTACTGGACTGGAAAGGATACGATATTAACATCAATGGCGAAAACTTCACTCACCTTCGATTTGCCGACGATATAACCCTTATGGCAGAATCGCTGTAGGACCCAAACACTATAATCAATTACCTCAGTAGTGCCTCCCAACGGAAAGGTCGTAAGATGAACATGGACAAAACAAAAATCATGATTAACGTCATACCTATTATTATTATTTTAAATTAGTATTAATTTAAAACAATAACGCTCGAAGTTGTTGAAGAGTATATTTACTTGGGACAAATAGTCCGACTTGGTAAGTTCAACTTCGACTGAGAGGTCAATCGATGAATTCAACTCGGCTTACCGGCGTTCGGTAAATTACGACACATCTTCTCTTCAGGTATACCTAAAAACTTTGAAAACGAGATTGTACCACCAGTGCATGTTGGCAGTAACGACTTACGGATCTAAGACGTGGTTGATCACTTCTGACCGTACGAGAAAGCTTAAGGTCGCTCGGCGAGCTGTGGAGGGGCTATTCTGGGGTTCTCTATGCATAATAAACTTAGAAATTAGGATATCCGCAGTAGAATCAGAGTGACCGAAATAGTCCAACGGATGACGGACGGCCGGCAATGGGCCGGCCTTATAGCTCGAAGAACCGACAACCAATAGGAGGAAAAAGGTTCTCTAGTGATGGCCTCGTAACGGTAGGCGAAGTATAGGGCGTTCTACCACTAGACGAAGTGACGTCCTAGTAGGACATGCAGGAAGTCGATGGGTGTCAAATGGCTCAGCACTGTGCTTTGTACCATTTCTTGGGGGATGCCTATGTTCAGCAGTAGACTTGTGAAGTCAGTTATGATGATGATGATGATACGTCTTATTTAAGTATAAAGGCACCATTGTCATCGTTATATACATTCGCGAATTAGTATCTTCCTATTTAAAAATAAACTTCCGCTGGTTAGTACCCATCTACCTTCATTTTGTTCTCACCAGTTGCCTGTGGATTCTGTTATTAATAAAAATTAGAACTAAACCCAAGCATACCACTGAAGGTTTCTTTCTTTCTTTCTTTCTTTCTGCAAGCTCACGGTACACCGGGTCAACTATGACATCAGAATGTTTAACACTTAGTCCCCCCCTACTTGGAACTCAAGGGTGTTGCAAAGCACTTGAAACGTCAGGAGTTAATAACGAATTAAATTAAACGAGATAAAATCAGTAAAAGTATTTCTATTCAAATATGAATGCAATCAACCTTAGTTCACATGACTGATACGTTATTTCCGTTCATATAGTTTTCTGCTAGGCGTAACGATTGTGTAAAGTGAACTTGGCTAGCTCCGCAGGTGTGAAATATCCAGCGTCTGTTACTGCGATCGTCAATCGGCTATCCCTACAGCGGACAAGGTTCATATCCAGCAGATATTTGGAGTGATGGATCGGAAAAACTATCTTATCTTATTGATTGCTGCTGACACTTACACTTCATAATTAAAATAATCAATGAAAATGCAAACTGATATGCAAAGTTTATTTTTTAATTTTATGTTTGATTTTTAGTTAAAAGGGTTAGTAGTAGATACCGCATCCGCAACCTCCGATGGCGCGTCCAGCGAAAGCGGGACCGTAACCGAATCCGGTAGCAAGACCAGGTCCGTAACCCAACCCAGCGTTGACCGGGTAACCCAAAGTGGATGCGGAAATGTCTTCGCTTATGATACCTACGGCACCGTTTCCGCAACCGTAAGAGACGGCACCAGCACCGGCAGTTGGAAGCACACCTTCCAGGCCAACGGTGCCTAGGAAAGGCAGTTCACCAAAGGCAGACAGGATTCCTGCGATCTCGTTCTCTGAGAGAACAGATACTCCAACAGGCGGGATGGGAGACGCGCTGGCGACAGGGAAACCACCGCCGCTAGCAGTTGGAATGGCAGCTAAACCGCAACCGGCACCGTAACCAGCCAAGCCTAAGCCTCCCCATTGGCAGCCGCAGGGAGCACCATCAATCAAGGAACCTTCGTAGGCCAGTCCGTTGCCCAAACAGTAGGCAGTTATGGTCTAAATAATAATTAAAAAGAAAAGTTATATTTCATTTATTTCTTAAAGCTACTCAAATTGCAACTACTGTTTTTATTAAAATCTGAAGCTACTGTTTTCAATAATGACTTATTTTAATTTAATTTAAGACGTTTAGTAGGTGTTTTTTCTTACCTGAACCAAGAGTGCTTGCGCGACGAAAAGAATGAATGCTTTGGCACACATATTTGTTGTGTTAATTGGAAACAAGTGTGAGTATAATTTAGGTCGATTGGGTTATATATAGCAGAACAGAAATTATTTTGAAATAATATCACGCAATTTCATGTTCCCTTATACGTGACAAACACAAAGAGCCTACTCGTAATACAAAAACTATCACAAATCATAAAACTTATTAAAAGAAGATAATATGAAATTCCTACATTTGAACAAATCTATTTATAAATAAATCATCATCATTTTATGAGATTTAAATCTAAAGCCATTTAAAAGCTTCATTATTTCCTCATAGTAGAGTTACGCTCTATAATATATTATTTTATATAAGTTTTGTACAATTTTATATTAATAAGCCCAAAGCAAAAATTTTGGAAGATTCTTTTGTCAGTTTCACTCCTTGTCAAGGTAAATAATTCCTTATGTTGTGGAGAACTAATAATATAGGAGCACTAATGTAGTCTTTGATATATATTTCCAATTTTTGCTTTAACTCATCTTCTGCGTATACATGCGGCTGTTTTTCCGCACTTTTTAGTTAATAATTAGTTTTTAAATTCCAAATCAAACTTAGTAACGTTCCACAACAAGTGAAACACAGGTCAATGTCTCGTCGATATAATTATTTTACGGAATACGTTTACGTTTATTTATTAATTACGAAATAATTTTTAATCGATCAATTTGTAAAGAGTATATACATATAGCATTGTTTTTACATTTTTGGATCACTTTCAAATTGGTACAGTATTAGAGCCTTACGGGATATTTAGAGACGATGGCAAGAGACCCGACGGTATGACTTTGGTCCGTTGGGAGAGAGGTAAAGCCGAATTTAGTAAATGGCGCAAATATGAGTCTCTGAGAAATGACTACATATTTGTGCCATTTGCTGTAGAGACTATCGGTCCGTGGGGTCCACGTGCAATGAAGTTTCTAAAGGAACTGTATCCACGACTGGTCGTCGCTGCTGGTGATAAGAGGGCTGGTTCTTTCCTCGCTCAAAGGCTAAGTATATGAAAGAATTTTGACACCATGTTCCATAAATCGATAGCTATTATTGAAAATAATTCAATTTTCCTTTTACTTCTCACAGTCAGTTAAAAGTGTTATACAGCACATTATAAAGATGTTCCTCCATTTTCAGAATATATGCAGTCAGTGTCTGGGGGCTGGACTTGGATTGGGCTATGGTCCAGGATACACTATTGAGTACGGATTGGGATGTGGATCGGCTTTAGCCTCTGAAATTGCTTGCGGACCTGGAATTGGTTTTGGATACGGTCTCGCTGGGCCTGGTGGTCTTGGCTGCCAAGCAGGTATTGCCGGTCCAGCCTACGGTGGCTCAGGCATTGGTGACGTAGTGGTCGCTGGCGATTTGGGTGTCGTTGGTAACACCTTAATAGGTGGTCAGGTTCCGATTCTGGGTGCTGTTAGATTCGGTGGTGAAGTTCCAGCTGGTGGTATTGTCTCCATCACCGGAAGCTGCAGCGGAAACTGTGGTTGCGGTTGCAACGGTGGTTACCTGTACTGAAGTGAGGCAACGACAAATAACAACAAACAAATAACAAAATAAAAAATAACAAATGTTAAATTGAAAATAATTACAAATTATGGACTATATTGCAGATTTTTAATCCATAATGCTCCCCTTTCCCTTCTGTTTTCCTGATATATTTGCTATGACTGGCTGTGAATGCGCGAAGACATGGTGTGTTGGATTATCTTACACAGCCATTGGAAGGCGATTTCAAATTCAGCCTCAATATAATAGATAAATAATAATAAAATACGCAGTACGCCACTCGGAAACGACCGCGCTTCCCCGCAAAGCTCTAAGCAAGCGGAATCGGGCTGTCGTGAGGGCTCCGAATCCAATGCCGGTGACCTATTTGGAAGCCAGCCGGGACCTTTGTGAGACGGACTCAATTCTTTTTGGCGCTGCACTGGCAGTCTGCCGTATTATAGGCGCCAAACTATCCAAGGCTGGACGCGTTACTGGGCAAAGTAGCGCTGTCCCAGCCTGGAGAATAAAAATTGAAGAACGTATCGCCAAGGCTAGGGCCTTCATCGGTAGACTGATATGCTTCAGGTCAGGCAATAACAAGCCAAGGATTGTGCTCACTTACAGGATGGTGTTTGCGGGGACAAATGTCGGTTTGTCCCAGCCGGATATAACGCAAAAACTGACGGAGCCCATAGACAATCTGAAGCAGAGAATCGCTGCTTGGGAAAAGCGGATTCGGCGATATACCAAGAGGTCGACACGATTCAACCAGAATCGTCTCAGAATCGTCTCCTCCAGAGTGATCAGAACAGGTTTTATAGATCATCGGAGTGACCAATGGTAAGTCTAACGGGCCCAGCGCCGACACTGTCGCATTTTGACGCAGCCTGTGGTCAGAGCTCATACCCCATAAAGTCGAACCATTCGTGCTACAACTATACTACTAATATAACTGCAGCTTGGTACACGTAAAAATCTCAAACATAATTAGATATTAAAAATGAACACTTTCTTGGTTTGTTGGCTTATAAAAATAATACAATGGTTTTATATGGTTATAACAACAGAGTGCAAGATCGAGAGGTTATAATGTAACTAATACAACTGAATTTGAAGTAATATTTTGTACCTAGGCATTTAGGACTTAACCATATAAATCGTCAGCAAATTGTTGACAGAACCTTGTTGATACCACGCGGTTTATTTGGTAACTATAACGGGGAAAATAAACCTGTAATAATAATTGATGGAACGTATTGCTCTATAGAAAAAAGTTCAAATTATTTGTACCAAAAAAAGAACTTATAGTTTGCATAAGTATAATAACTTGGTAAAGCCATTAATGATTGTATGTGCAGACGGTCATATTATTGATGTAATGGGCCCCTATCCTGCTACCACATCAGATGCAGATATCATTAATCATGAGTTTCGTGATCCTAGTTCAATGCTAGGTGAATACTTTCAGGCTGGTGATGCATTAATTTAGATAGGGGCTTCAGAGATTCATTGCCGTTATGACATGAATGTGGTTATAGAACTTACGTCCCACCAACATTGCAGGCGGGTGAATGGCAGCATTCCACAATAGAGGCCAATAAATCGAGAACAGTCACCATATGCAGACGGGTTGTTGAAGTAGTTAACGGAAGATTTAAAAGAGATTTTAAATTATTTAGAAGCATTTAATGATAGATTTTGAGGTGGCTGCCGCTCTACCAAATGCTTTTCACCCTCCTATTACAAATTGTGTTCATTCTGGGGATATTTTACAAATAATCAATGAGAACATGAACAAAGAAAACGATTTAGGCTGTTACGTGATTGAAAATAATATAAACCGACGTAGAGCAGATTTTACAAGAATTCATGTGCAAAATGATGACTTAAATGACTCCCCAGCTCACACATAGTGATTTAATAAAGATATCTTTGGGTATTTATCAAATTAAGCAGGTCCTATTATGGAGAACACATACGACAAGATGGGAGATATGAAATAGAAGTGTGTCGAGAAACGGACAGCAACCTACTAAGAGAACTGTCAATATTCAATCCTTCTAGCTGGCTATTAAGAGGTCGACTAAAATCTAGAGATGTAGGCTCAAAAATATATGTTACATATATTTTAGTTGACAGTTCTCTTAATGGTAGAGAGGCCATCAAGCAATATTATTGTAATTGCTTGGTAGGAAATAGAACTGTAGGTTGCTGTTGTCATGTAATGTCCATAATATGGTACCTAAGCTGAGCAAGGCATCAAGTGAATTTAATACTGCCTGCACCGTTTTAGACGATATTTTAATTGTTTATGATGAAGTGGACGATGAATAAATCATTTGAAAGCGACCGTGTTTTTAATTCATACTCCCTCAGCTTTTTATAATTATTTCAAACCTCTAGAATTTAATCGGACGGGGTCTGAATCCTCCTGATATTATGGTAAAGTCTAGTTTACAATTAATTATAATAATTAATTTCGTAATTTAATGAGAGAGCTTGGTGTAAGACTAATATTGTAAGCATAACACAAGCAACAACATTATTCATATACAAACAAATAACATCCTATATTTTTTTTCTACTATGAAGCAGTCGTAAATATTTTAGTTTTTTTTAAATGGGTATTAGTTAAATATGCAGTAATCGATACTGTAACATCAGGCTCAGCTTTCTATGAACTTTCGCCCGTCTCCTTTGGGTAGCCCTATGCCCAGCTTAGGTACCATATTATGGACATTACATGACAACAGCAACCTACAGTTCTATTTCCTACCAAGCAATTACAATAATATTGCTTGATGGCCTCTCTACCATTAAGAGAACTGTCAACTAAAATATATGTAACATATATTTTTGAGCCTACATCTCTAGATTTTAGTCGACCTCTTAATAGCCAGCTAGAAGGATTGAATATTGACAGTTCTCTTAGTAGGTTGCTGTCCGTTTCTCGACACACTTCTATTTCATATCTCCCATCTTGTCGTATGTGTTCTCCATAATAGGACCTGCTTAATTTGATAAATACCCAAAGATATCTTTATTAAATCACTATGTGTGAGCTGGGGAGTCATTTAAGTCATCATTTTGCACATGAATTCTTGTAAAATCTGCTCTACGTCGGTTTATATTATTTTCAATCACGTAACAGCCTAAATCGTTTTCTTTGTTCATGTTCTCATTGATTATTTGTAAAATATCCCCTGAATCAACACAATTTGTAATAGGAGGGTGAAAAGCATTTGGTAGAGCGGCAGCCACCTCAAAATCTATCATTAAATGCTTCTAAATAATTTAAAATCTCTTTTAAATCTTCCGTTAACTACTTCAACAACCCGTCTGCATATGGTGACTGTTCTCGATTTATTGGCCTCTATTGTGGAATGCTGCCATTCACCCGCCTGCAATGTTGGTGGGACGTAAGTTCTATAACCACATTCATGTCATAACGGCAATGAATCTCTGAAGCCCCTATCTAAATTAATGCATCACCAGCCTGAAAGTATTCACCTAGCATTGAACTAGGATCACGAAACTCATGATTAATGATATCTGCATCTGATGTGGTAGCAGGATAGGGGCCCATTACATCAATAATATGACCGTCTGCACATACAATCATTAATGGCTTTACCAAGTTATTATACTTATGCAAACTATAAGTTCTTTTTTTGGTACAAATAATTTGAACTTTTTTCTATAGAGCAATACGTTCCATCAATTATTATTACAGGTTTATTTTCCCCGTTATAGTTTCCAAATAAACCGCGTGGTATCAACAAGGTTCTGTCAACAATTTGCTGACAATTTATATGGTTAAGTCCTAAATGCCTAGGTACAAAATATTTATATAGTAAGTGACGAGCTTCAGACGCATATCCATCAAGAGTTCTTTTAGGAATGTTAAACAGAGCTGATATTCTCTCATTAGAATCACCGGTTCTCAGCTTTATCAAATATGCTGTTAACCCAACAGGGCCCGATGACTTTTGCAGTAATTGTGGCACTTCATCTAAAATCCTTTGATACTGCTCTTTCGTAAAGCCTAACCAATGGTGCACTAAACGGTCTTCCATATTAAGAATATTGATAAAATCAAGGCCAACATTTGAGTGACTTTTTAATTCTAGCATGTTTTGAATATGCAATGCTGTAAACACATTAACATAATTTTCTAAAGCTCCAGTGAGAAAATCCCAAGATTGCGTATTAATGTGGTGGTGGCATAATCTATTGTTTTTAGGGATATAGAAGTTATAGATATCAAACAACATTTTCCTAATTGTAAGAGGAACTCTATTCCTCTCTTGTCTCCGACAACCTTCAATAAAACAGCGAGATTCAGTTTCTACTGATCTTACATAGTCAGGTAACAAACACTATAGCTTCACTCAGCCTGGGTGTAGCTTCTGAAGTAGCCTGTGAAGTAGACTACAAAGTATCCTGTGAAGTAGACTGCAAAGTATCCTGTGAAGTAGACTGCAAAGTATCCTGTGAAGTAGACTGCAAAGTAGCCTGTGAAGTAGACTGCAAAGTATCCCCTGAAGTAGACTGCAAAGTCAATTCCTCTTGTTCACTTGTTTCATATACTGATGTTGAGGATCCAGAAGGTGCAGATACAAAATGATGGGCGTTTCTATCAGCTCTCACCCAGCAACTGTGACATATGAGAGCTCTGTTTCTTGAAATCTGAAACAATAAGTTTATAATAACAAACCTTTGTCTGAGAAAGAATATAACTGGCGAAATGCGGGTGTACTGCACTCCTCTGCCTTATCTCTTGGGGGGAATACAGGCACGATGTTATGTTGTGTTGTATATAAAACATTGTAACCATGGTCAAAGTGAACATTTGTATTTATTAATACTGACTATACATTACCATTATCATCTGCCTAGTCTTTCCCCAACTACGGAATTTGACCCCAAGGTTGACGTTTAGTCTATCTAGATGCAACTGAATAGCAGTATTTTACATTGGTACCCCAAGGTAAGGCTGGTTGTCAGACTTTCGGGCTTCTATGCATTACCATACTATAGTATAAAAAATAAAAATCAACTGATCCCAATTAACACTTACAGTACGAGGCAAAAGCCATTCACAAATGACTGTATAAATCCTTCTTTCTCGTTCAGTGCCAGTATGCAATAAATGAGATCTGGCACGCAATACTGAACGTCCACAGTTGACACACACTTGACGATGTCCAGTTGTTGCACATGAAAGATGCTCATTTATGTCCAAAGAATGTGTTACTAAAGTCCTGCATTCTTGGCAAATGCGATGAGAACTGTTGACCTACAACAATATTAGTTTGTTACTCGGCAAAAAATAATATAGATACATGGAAGTAAGTGAGACTTAGCTAAAATTATTCGTTGCACAAAGTACTGGATAGATACAGACAACAGTGAGAGGAGGACAGTGTTTAAAAAACCAATGCCAGCCGAACTCATTTTCCGAGTGTCTTTCTGAATCCTATGTGTTCTTATTATTTCTTGCCGGTATTGAGATTACATTAAGATTATATATTTAATACAGTGTAAATTATCCTATTGTTGCTTAATTAATTTGCTCAATTTTTTATAACTCTGTTATTAATATGAAAAGAACTACGTTAACATTTTGTGGCGTCATATAGTATTTTTACTAAAAGAGCTTTATGAAATAAATGCCATTAATTGACGATCAAACCGTCCAGTAAATCTTGTGTTAAATGTATTATTTCAATCATAGAGTTAATATAGTGATTTTAGAATAAAAATGAAGTACGGTCCAGCAAAATGTGAAGTTGTAATAAAATAAACTATACTTACCACTTCAGGTGCAACCCATCGCTGTATCACTGAAAGAATGCTTTCGTCTTCTATTTTATGTAATCCTATAGAAGGATTACGCCGCCAAGTAGCTATGCCGCAGTTGATACAATGATGTTGATCAGTCATTTTATAATGATTTCTTATATTTACGCGAACACTACACATTGAAATAATACTAGTTTTTACGGAATTTATCGCGTATATTTAACTTTTTAAATACCCGACGTTTCGAACGCTTTACAGCACTCATGGTCACGTACAGGATCGCCCCCGTCACCACATCAGATTTGATAGACCGCAAATCCTCGCTAAAGAACACCGATTCCTTCCAAGGATGATTCGCGAGGCTATTGAAATCAAAAAACATCCTAATTTCAATAGAGAAGATGGCTGGGTGCTACCATCTGCTTGGGATCCTATAATAAATAAAATTAAATCCCAACCCAAGCATACAACTGCCTAGACTTCAAGATACCATAACTTCATACTGCATAGATCGGAACAAAAGTTAAATTTTTAATCTATGGTAACCGCGGTTAACTATGACATATGGACGTTGAACATCTCAGTCCCGCCCGTGACCATGAGTGCTGTAAAGCGTTCGAAACGTCGGGTATTTAAAAAGTTAAATATACGTGATAAATTCCGTAAAAACTAGTATTATTTCAGTCATTTTATTTTAATTCGAAATCCGTTATATGAAAGCTGAGATAAGTCGAGTAGCCAAGATAACTAAGTCCGTTGTAAGAAATGCGTGGGTGGTTCGTCAAAGTAATAACAGTCAGAATCCTTTATAAGTAGCCAGAGTCGTTAAAGATCACAATATTACAGCACATGAAAACAACAGAAAATATTCACTACCGCCGTAAGCTCAGAGCCAAACGAACGATGTAAATGATTTGATTGACGTTTGAGTTTTTTAATTAATTAACATTGACATGATTTCCGCTTAGTGGCCTGTATTAAATATTGGGTGCGTTTGGCAGAAAAAAGCGCTAGCAAGCGCTTGTAAGCAAAATGGCGATCGTAAGCGGTAAACGCTGTCAAATCGTAAGTAGCTATTTTCCTCCAGGACACGATGTTAGTTTTAACCGGAGAACCTAACCTAATTTAAATATATGTTTGTAAAGTATTCATATTAAAAACTTACTAATCATGAATTTTTAATAACATATGTATGTTTATTCACGTTATTATATTACTTAAAACTAATATTACACAAAACAACTTATAAACTCTACTTCAAAACAAACAAATTAAATAAGCAAAATGGCGGATTGTGTCAGCGCTACTGAAGTAGTAATCGTGTCCTGGCAGAAAACTATTTCAGCGCTTGTAAGCGCTTGCTAGCGCTTTTTTCTGCCAAACGCACCCATTGATAATCGATTGTGAAATCGATTTATTAACTTATTCAGTCAAGTCAATTATTACGATATTTTTGAAACATAGAAGTGTCACGAGGAAACCTTTATTTAAATAATAAGTTTTTTAATTTTATCTAAAGAATAAAACACTGAATCACTTTTTATTGTCTTTTTTCTATTTATGTATTAAAATCGATTAACTAACCTATTTCATCCGCCATCATTGTTTAAAAATGAAAATAACGGAAGTCAGTATTATTTTTATTTAATATTTAATTTCTTTTCCCATGATAAAACTGCTTAATATTTCATTATTAATTACAAAAAAACTGTAAAAAAATATTGATAAATATTTCACTTGTGTAACGGTTAGGCCCAGATTCGCCCGTCTCCTTTTATGTTCAAATATATAAATAATGATATACCGTAATTGAAGTTTTTGAAAATATGAGTAAATAACGCTTCTATTTTTATTTGAAATTATCCCAAAATGAATGTGATTTATGGGCAATAACTACCCATATGCGTGCTTCTCTGCGTGTGTGTGTGTGTGTGTGTGTGTGTATTCACAACGTTTTTGACAACCGAGCGATCCCTCGAATGTGTGCGTGCGTAGTAAAATATTAGGCGTTAGATATCTATGAATGATAATTAGTTAAAATAATGAATTACCACGCATTCCGAATTTAAAGATAAAAAGACAAATTATTTTAGACTTTTTTTAAGTAATTTTTCTTTACCATTCGCCTATATTACTAACTTATTCTGAACTTTTTTTACAAATTTGGGTGCATATTGCAAAATAATCAAACAAACAAGGTAACGTTCCTCAGCAAAGATTTATAAACAAATTTATGGTTTAGTCACACTTCTTACTGATTTCAAATCATCAATTTGTAATTGAAAATTAGATACTGAGGGGGGATATTACAAAATTCTTATACATCTTTCTTTCAAACAAAAAGCATAATATTCTACTCACGAAGTGAATGTTAAAATGAGATCATTCGTCAAAAATTTTTATATTAAATTACATTATAACTCATATATCTTTCATAAGATATGCCTTAGAACACAAAAAATTATGTATAACATGACATATGTCAAAATGCAAAATAGTAGCTTAATGCTGCTGTGTTTCGTATGGTGAGTGTAAAGAACCGGAGACACATTTTACTGGAAATGAGGCAGTCCATGTTTGTCCTCACGGGTGACAACGCATATGCATTTTGATTCGTAATCGAGGATAGATGTCTATACACAGATGAATAGTACACTATTGAGGTCATTGAGCATAGTGCTGAGGTTCTCCAGCAATTCTGCTATAAGAATTATAACGTAGGTAAATCAAAGGTGAATTATGTAAGCACCATTGACGTTAATACCGTATCGTTTCCAGTCCAGTAGCTTGACTACTGGAAAGAATCTGGAAACGTCTCTTAGCTTTACTGTACGGCGTCCACAGCTTCTTCAGGTGATGAAAATCTCTGTCCACGCAATTCATTCTTTATTTTAGGGAAAGTATAGAAATCACTAGGGCTTATGTCGGGGCTGTACGGCAGATGGTGTAATAATTCTATGTTTTCTTGCTCTAAAAACTTCTGTGTGCGGTGTGAGAACTCGCATTGTCGTGATGGAGGATGATGTGGCGGTTGCAGTTCTCTTTACGGAGTTCAGAAACGACCTGTGGCAAACAAATGCTAGCATATCATTCTGCATTAACCGTTCTTCGTCCCTCAAGAGGAATAGTCGTAACATGGCCGGTTTTGGAGACAAACGTGGCCACCATTTTTTTTTTGCAACACTCCGTGAACGAACAATATTTGTTGGCTTTAACTCATTTTCGAACACCCAAACTCGTGACTGGTTTTTTGTTTCGGGTTCGTACGTGTATATCCAGGATTCGTCACCTGATACGATGTTGTATACAGCATTTGAGGATCCTGCGTGCAATCTTTCAAGAGTTCTGACGCACCAAGTAACGCGAGCTTTTTGCTCTTCACAGAGCGAATGCGGTATCCATCGGTAAACAACTTTTTTTACACCTAATTGTTCATGCAAGATTATTTATATTTGACTCATGCCAATGTCTAAAGTTGCCTGCATTTCGCGGTATATCACATGTCGATCTTCGTCAATCACCTTACGCACAGCATCAACGAAAGCATCAAAGAAAATTCTTAGTGACCACGGAGCACGGAATTGAAGATATTCTGAAGGATTTTAAGTACCGGTGTTCCCGGAACCCGCTTTTAAAAGCTCCGCTGTAAGTCCATCCTAGCCTGGGACCTCACCGTGTTTAAGGTGCTGGAGTGCTATTCTAATTTCGCTCAGACTTGCTCTTGGATCGTTACTCACGCTTGCGTAAGGCTCCAACGATGATGTGTTCTCCCCATAAAACCTCTCAATCTCACCCAAAATCTCATGTATCCCGGAAACAATGCTGCCACACTCAGTCTTCAGCTTTGACCGTTGGCTCTTTCTGTTCTGACAGACAGATCTCTGGCGAATACTTTGGAGCATTGGTTCCGCTCAATCGCTTCTTCAAAACGAGCTGTCTGTTCAGTTGCCTGTATGCTGTTAAATCTGCTGACGACTGCAGCTTCATCTCCCGTCTAATATCCGTGAGATTGAGAGTGTGATTGGAGTTTTTGTGTTCTTCTTCGGCGGGTTCTGCAGAACTTAGCTCCAACCGCATGAATAGTTTCCACGAGCTTGTCATTCCTATCGTCCACTGCATTGCAATTTTCAAGGCACTGAAAATGGTTTTGTAACTCTGGACACGTCTGGTCGTCATAATGTAGTGAATCTTTTTTTGTCGAACGTATGTATATTATTTATATATATACGTTAACTGTTCAATGATGTCTCAGTGATCGCAAGGGTGAAAACAGGCAGCTGTCACGGAATGGTTAGAGGCAGACTGAACCTAAATGTTAAGTTGGAGAGTCCATCTAACGTTTAACTAACGTTTCTAACGTTAACACCTCTGAGTACGGGGCATCAAAGCGTCTTATTTACTAACAATCCCAAACGCTGTCAACATGCCGTGTTACGAAGCTACTCTGCTAGGCACTATCTAGTAATGCACGAACACTCTATTCGTTTCCATGCGAATCCCTAACGGACTGTACCCAGCAACACGGTGGAAGGAGACTATATATATATATATATATATATATATATATATATATATATATAAGTAACGTTAGATGGCTTGCTGGTTTGTGGCTGAAACACGACGTAAAGCTCTTCTTGTTTTAAAGTAATACATAATACATAGAGTGCAGCATTATATATAGCGTAATATATATATGTATATACATATACGTATACGTCTTGGATTTTATGGAGTGACCTGGAAGCGTACTTTGGTGATTGATCGAAATCGAAACAAAACGACAAGTATTGCGTCATGCGCTAAGCGTGTCTCCCGATACGGGATAGGGTGAAGGAAGCGGTCATTCAGAGATACCAACCTGTTTCGACACGATTCGCGGATTCTATTCTATTTTAAAAGTTTTTTACGTAACAACCCTACATTACACATTACACATTATTAAGTAGCTATCTTCCTACAATAGAAGTGGGATAAAGTCCCCGTTATTGCCTACATTTAATTTTTATGAGATAAAGTCCCCGTTATTATCCACAATTAATTTTTATGGGATTTTAAGTTTCCTGACACCACTCCTTGTTGTAATTTGCGAAATATGAATTACTAGAGCTATATATCAAAATTTGAAATCTTTAAGCGGTATG